AGGTGGTAGGACATTTGTCCCTGATTGTATCTGAGGTGATCAACATAATATCTTGGCTCTGGAAAGTATTCCGGGGTCAGGCTCAGCTTACTGTCCAAACAGAGGATGAAAATGCCACCTTGGGCCAAGACAGAATCTGTGCAATCGCTAATACATCCTGCTGTACCTGGATTCATGTTCCACACCAAGGACAAGGGTCAATATAGAAACTTAGGCAGAAAGGCACCTGGCTTTGTAAGGTAAACATTGATGGCTTAAAAGGATCTGTTCATGCCAGGAGCCGGTCCATGCTTGCTGTTTCAAAGGACCTGGCATATATGGCATGCTGTTCTTAAAATGTTTGCTCACCTTCTTGGCACTATGTGTTTTAACCAAGGTCTCTGAGAAAGGTTGTTTCCCCAAGTATGGATTTTCCCCTGAAGTTAGGGAGGGAATAAAACCTCTTAACTAAGTGCCAGGCGGGTAATTAATCACTTTAACTACGAACAATCATGCTTAAGCTACATAATCTTTACTCCCTGGAATGAAGATAAGAAACGCCCTAACCTTTGTAATAGAGATTGAAAGGATTGAATCAACTGGTATAAATACAGATGTAATAAGACAGCAAGACACAGAACTTAGAATATGGAACCAAGAGAGACAGAACCTAGGCACAGAACCTACACAGAACGTTCTCTAGAGACAGAAGAACTTCGCTGGAGAGAACATGGCAAAAGATCCTGGACAGAAACTGGCCTCAGAACCTAGAGACAGAACCTAGCGAGAGAACATGGCAAAAGATCCTGGACTGAACCTGACTACAGAAATTGGCAAGAGAACCTGACTAGAACCTGGTGACTGAACCTGGCTGGAGAACCTGGACAGAACCTGGCTGGAGATCCTAAGCAGAACTTCGCTGGAGATCCAGACCAGAACTTGGCTGGAGATCCTGGCTAGAGATCCTGGCTAGGCTGCTGATCAACTGAACGCTGTCTCCATGTCATTCCTTCTTCGCCGACTCCGTCCACACCTTTGGGGACCCCTGGACCCGCTGGGGTTGGACCCCGGCATGTTCAGCTCATTGAGTCTGGAACCCCGGATGGCACAGATGAGCAAAATACTGCAGACTGGCCTCATTCTGCCACTTGGAGTCCTGTTGATTAAGTGTTGCATAAGACAAATTGAACAGCCTGGGCTGTCATCTCTGCCAGTCAGATTAATCAGAGTAGCTGACAGAGTAGTATACGCATGGGAAATTTTGCAGAAGGCAAGACAGTGCAGAAATGAAGGGTGGATATTATTGGGAGACAATTCTCAACAGATCTCTTGTGTTACAGTGAGCATTTCTACATGTCCTGGTACATCAGCCAAGGATTTCTGCTCATATTTCCCTGAGAGAATTGTTTCCTCTTATGATCTACATATGCTTTGATGAAGAAGGCTAAGATGTTTCCCAAAGAGATTATGCCAATTTACACTCCCACCAGCAGCAAATGAGCTGCTGGTATGTGCTGATATGGGCCTATAAGCTGCTGATATGGCTCCTCATCCTTGCTACCACTTGTCATCATCAGTTTTCTTTTTTTTATCTTTAAATTCTTTATTAGTTAAGGTATTACAAATGTGTCCTCATTCCCCCCCCCCATTAGCCCCCATTCCCCCACCACCACTAATGCTCCCATCCCCCTGTTGTCCGTGTCCATTGGTTTGGCTTATATACATGCATACAAGTCCTTCGGTTGATCTCTCCCCCTTACCCCCACCCTCCCCTACTTTCCCTCTGGGGATTAATAGTCTGATCGCTGTTTCTCTGTCTTTGGATCTGTCCCTGTTCATCAGTTTATGTTCTCTATATTCAACAAATGAGTGAGATCATGTGGTATTTATCTTTCTCTGCCTGGCTTATTTCACTTAGCATAATGCTCTCCAGGTCCATCCATGCTGTTGCAAAAGGCAAGAGTTCCTTCTTTTTTACCGCAGCGTAGTATTCCATTGTGTAGATGTAATCATCAGTCTTCTTAATTTTAGCCATTCTGGTGGGAGTGTAGTAGTATTACATTGTGGCTTAAATTTTGCACTTCCCTGATGACTAATGAGACTGGGCACCCTCTCAGGTGTTTGTTAGCCATTTGGATATCTTTTTTGTTACATGTCTATTCAAATAAGGCATGTGACTACTGTGTAGTCTGCTTTTTCTTACTGTTTTATTGTTCTTGATATATTCTGGCTAGAAGTCCTCCATTGTCTATCTCTTCTACTCTGTGGCTTATAATTTTCTTCTTAATGAAAGTGATTATTATAAAAATCAAGATAGTAACTATCTTTGGGAGTAGAGGGACTCTGAAATTATATGGCCACTTTCTAGACTGACAAAATGAAAAATCAGTGATCTGTACATTTTTTGTATGCTTTTCTGTATGTATGCTATATTTCACAATAAAAATAGTTTTTAAAATATAGGCTTGCCCTAACTGGTTTGGCTTAGTGGATAGAGCATCAGCCTATGGACTGAAGGGTTGATTCTGGTCAAAGGTATGTACCTTGGCTGTGGGCACATCCCCAGTAGGGGGTGTGCAGGAGGCAGCTGATCGATGTTTCTCTCTATCCCTCTCCCTTCCTCTCTGTAAAAAAATCAATAAAATATCTTAATAAAGTAAAATGCCAGGAAAGCATTAAATATACATATATATACATATATATACATATATATGTATATATATATATATATATACTTAATCTATAACCCATCAACTCCACCCCTATTTATACAGTTAAGAGAGGGGTATACACATATACATGAAAAGAAACAAACAAAATTTTTTGTTCATGGTAGCATTGTTTATAATTCATATTACATTTCACCAAAATACTTAACAATAACAAAAGCTGATAAAAAAATTTGTTTAGTAGGCCACCTTTTGTGAAATAAAAAGGAGAAAGTAAGGATGTGTTCTCAGCTGCTTTTATTTGCATAAAGGAACCCTAACCATTCAGTAAACTAACCTGGTTATGTGTATTAGACACAGGTGAGCAGATAAGAGAAAGATAAATGAGAATTTAGACTAGTAGATTTTTTTATATCCTCACCCAAGGATGTTTTTATTGATGAGAGAGAGAGAGAGAGAGAGAGAGAGAGAGAGAGAGACAGAGAGAAAGAAAGATCAATGTGAGAGAGAATAATCAATTTGTTGCCTCCCAAACTCACCCCGACCTAGATCCAACCCACAACTTGGGTACGTGCCTTGAATGGGAAATGAACTCACAACCTTTGAGTGTACATGACAATGCTCCAACTAACTGAGCCACCTGGCTAAGTTTAGGCTATGTAGATTTTTATAGTTTTGAATTTTATATATTTTCATTTTTGAGCTATGTGTCTATATTGTCAACCAAAATTAAATTAAAAACTATTACTAATATTTTTAGAGTGATAAGATGCTGCATCCATGAAACAAAAATAGCATGCTATTAAAAGAGAATATTCTGAAAATAAAGAGCTATTTAAAATAAAAAATATGTAACAGCATTAATGAGAGACACAAAAGAAGATTTATAAGATAAAGTGTTCCAAAAAACTCTTAGAAAGGAAAACAAAAGAGAAAGAAATGGAAAGCAGAACAAAGACTAAAAAAAGTAGGAGGGTCAACAGCTGAATAAGAAGAGTTTTTTGAAAAGTAGAGAAAATGACTAGACTGGAAATAGGCTTTTAAAATTCTGCACATGCCAAAACCGGTTTGGCTCAGTGGATAGAGCGTCGGCCTGCGGACTGAAGGGTCCCAGGTTCGATTCCGGTCAAGGGCATGTACCTGGGTTGCGGGCACATCCCCAGTGGGAGATGTGCAGGAGGCAGCTGATCGATGTTTCTCTCTCATCGATGTTTCTAACTCTCTATCTCTCTCCCTTCCTCTCTGTGAAAAATCAATAAAATATATTTTAAAAATAAATAAATAAATAAAATAAAATTCTGCACAAAAATGATTTCCAACCGAGAATTCTATATCTAGCTGAAAAGATAAATTTAGTATCAGAGTCAAATAAATATATTTCCACCCTGGCTGGCATGGATCAGTTAGTTGAGTGTTGTCCCAGGAACCAAAAGGTTGCTGGTTCAATTCTCTGTCAAGGCACATAACCTGTTTGCAGGTTCAGTCCCCAGTTGGGTGCATGTAGGAGGCAGCTGATCAATGTGTGTTTTTTCTCTCACTCTCCCTTTCTCTCCTTCTAATACATTTCCAAGGCACTTATTACTTTTTTATTTCTATAAATGTATTTCTACAATTATATATATTAAATAAATATAATTTTGCATGACATTTTCAGACATACAACGTTTCATAAAATCCACCTGTCATGTATCCATTTTCAAGGATAGACTGGAGGATGTGCTCCCACAAAATGAGGGTGTAGACCAAGAAAGAGGAAGGCAGAGGATCCAATAAACAAGAAAGAAGACATAGGATCCCCAGGAAAGGGGATGTGCAATAAGACAGAGGTGAAAAGGATTTCCTGGGGGATAACACAGGGAAGACACCAAGATAATAGCTGTGTGTGAAGTTGAGGGAGAAACCAGACCAGCAGCCTGGTCAACAAGTTCCAGGAAAGAATTTATCACAGAGAAGACATTGCTGCCCTGAGTTGAGACCATTCCCACCTACCAGTAGCTGTGTAAAATTGAGCCAGATAGTTTTTCTCTATGCCCACGTTTCCCTCTATAAAATGGGAGTAACAATGACACACACTTCTTGAGTTTGTTATGAAGATGAGTTAGTATATGTAGTATGTGTATAACAGGGCTGGGCACATAGTAAACATTATATGAGTGTTTACAATTATTGTCACTATGATTATTACCTATATGTTTGAATCTACAGAGAGGAGATTTAAACAATTAGAAAGAATTTGAAGTTGAATTATTGATCTGTATATAGTAAAGCAAAGTAATGACTAAACCAGAAAACTGTTAATTCCAAGAAGAAAAAAAAGTAGTATAGAAAAAGGCACCTCTTTGTCTTCCTTACCTCACAGGAGCTGTCTCTTCCTCCTGCAGTCAGGGCCAGGGACCACTGGGGAGAGCTCTGGTTGGCTGGCATGTTTACTCGGGCTTCAGGCCTCAGGCTCTTTTGCTGACAACTCCGCTCTTCCCAGGAGCCTAGGGACAGGCAGGGTCTGTGGACTCAACCAGAGTTTCTGGGACCAGAAGGAAGATCTTGCAGCCTTCACTGTGGGGTCTGGTCCAGGAGCTCCCCTCAGAGACTCCAAGAAACCTGGAAAGACAGTGTCCACATGGTTAGTCAAACCAGCATTCATGCCACAAATGTTACTTGGGGGAACCAGAGTACGGCACTGGATGCTGTGGGAGTAGAAAATGTCCAGTCAACACCTATTCTAGTTATTCACAAAAATGGAATATGAGCGAGACCACAGATTTAGACTAAAATTAATGAAGGCTTAAATTCTAGCTCAGCCAACTTTTAGCTATGAGAATATGAAAATGTTTCTTTAGGGTTTTTTTTCAAAATGAGTCAAAACTATTTATCTCAAGGGGTTGTGAGAGTTAAATAAGATGATGTTTGTAAGGCCCTTAGCACCAGACCAGACCAGACGAGCCCAAGTAAACTTTTAATTCATATTAGCAAGCATTGTTATTACAAGGAATCATCTAATGTGCAGAAGCAGATACCTCATTTAATTTGCACAACAATCCTATCATCAATGTGTTGCTGCAGTTATTATTTCATTTTATACATAAAGAAACAGAAGTTTACAGATATTAAGCAAAACCCAGTCTAAGTGGTTTCAAAGTTCACATTCTCAATACTATACCATACAGTACCTGTTATATGGTAGGCTCAAAATAAATGTGCTTCTGTTTGCTAGATGTTGAAAACATGACTTTGATTTGGAATAAAAATGTTAAGCAAAGTTTCTTAAAATAGAAGAGACAGATCAGAAGGAAAATACTAATAGGCTGAGACTAAAATTGTTTAATTGCCTCAAAAATATCCAAAGGTAAAACCGTTTCTCCTGTTGAGGGAAGAGAGGGTGTCTCCATATCCAAGTTGAGGTATAATTTTATGCTGGTCAACCAATAGAGGCACTACAGATTTAGTCATTATTTTTAGGAAGGGGCGATATCCACATAAAATGAAGAGAAATTAAGACAACAAAAGTAAGAGATGAGATGAAGCGAAAACAAGAAAGTTAAATAAGAAGTAAATAAAATAAAAGGCATGAACAAGTTAAATTTTAGACACATAAAGATGATGATGCACTAAAGAAAGAGAAAATATGCTTTCTTTTCTTATGCCCATGGTACTCTTATAAAATTCCATCCAATAACTTATCTACAAAGAAAATCTGGTAGATGTTTTAATGCTGAGAATTGACAGGCTACATCCTTTGTTCATAGAATAAGGTGTTCAATGCCATTAGTCATTAGGAAATGTAAATCAAAACCAAAATTTTTAATTCATTTGGAGACCATTTAATATCCATTAGGATAGCAAAAATAACAACAACAACAAGAAACAATAACAAGTGTTGGTAAGGTGTGAATACACTGGAGTGCTCATACATTGCTGGAAGAATTGTAAAATAATTCAGGCATTCTGAAAAACAGTTTGGCAAAATGTTACCCACAGAACCACCATATGATCCAGCAGTTCCACTACTAGGTATCTACCCAAGACATATGAAAACACATGTATACTCCAAAACTTGTACACAAATATCCACAGCAGTATTATTCATAACTAGAGGCCCGGTGCACAAAATTCGTACACTCCGGGTGGTCCCTCAGCCCTGCCTGCACCCTCTCAGAGTCTGAGGAGCTGGCCTAAGCTGGCAGTTGGACATCCTTAGCACTGCCGCAGGGCTTCTGGCTGAGCAGTGCTCCCCCGTGGGAGCCAACTGACCACCAGGGGGCAGCTCCTGCATCAGTGCATGTCATAGTGACCACTCATTCTGCGGTTGGGTCAATTTGCACATTAGCCTTTTATTATATAGGACTAGAGACCCGGTGCACGAAATTCGTGCACTGGGGTTTGGGAATCCCTCAGCCCAGCCTGCCCCCTCTCACAGTTCAGGAGCCCTCAGGGGATATCCTACTGATGGCTTAGGCCTGCTCCACAGTCTGGCCACAGAGGCTCAGATCAAGTGCTGCGTGCTCACGTGTGTCTGTGTATGTGTATCCGCTGGGCGCCTGCCCCCAACTGCGTCAGAGGCTTGGAGCAGGCGCCCTGTGAGTGTGTGTGTGTGTGTGTCCGCTGGAGGTCTGCCCCCAACTGCATCAGAGGCTCGGAGCAGGCGCCCAGTGTGTGTGTGTGTGTGTGTGTGTGTGTGTGTGTGTGTATGTGTGTGTCCAATGGAGGCCTGCCCCCAGCTGCGCTGCGGAGGCTCAGAGCAGGCTCCCCGTGTGTGTGTGTGTCTGTCTGCTGGGGGCCTGCCCCCAACTGCATCAGAGGCTCGGAGCAGGTGCCCTGTGTGTGTGCGTGTGTGTGTGTGTGTGTGTGTGTGTGTGTGTCTGCTGGGGGCCTGCCCCCAGCCATGCTGCAGAGGCTTGTAGCAGGTGCCCCTCTGTGTAGATCTCTCAGGCTCTGGGCTGCGCCCAGCCCCTCCTCCTGAGCTGGTTGTGACTGTTATGGAGTCCCAACCTCATTTGCATAACAAATATATATATATATATATATACATATATATATATATATATATCCCACCTAAATGTCCATCAACTGATGAATGGATTAACAAATGTGGTAGATCTATATAATAAAATAGTATTTGCCAATAAAAAGTACTGATATATGCTATAACATGAAAAAACCTTGAAATCATTATCTTACATGAAAGATGCCAGTCACAGAAGACCACATATTGCATGATTTCATTTATGTGAAATTTCTAAAATGGGCAAATACATAGAGACAGAAATTGATTGGAGGTTTCCTAGGGTGGGAGTGTGGGGTGTCATAAGTGATGAATGTCTGCTATTGTGTACAAAGTTGAAAATGTTCTAAAATTAGATAGTGGTGATTGATGACTGGACAACTCTGTGAATGTACTTAATACCATTGAATCATATACTTTAATGGGTGAATTTTTATGGTATTGGAATGTATCTAAATAAATGTGTTTTGTAGATCTAAATAAGTCTGTTTTTAAAAGAAAAGCAATACCATCCAGGACCACAGTAGAAAATCAATACAGAAGCTATACAATTTTTACCAGTTGTCATGTAACACACCAAAGTTATATATAAAGTGAAATTTATAGCTTTAAATGGCTTTATTTTTAATTAAAAATAAATATAACAAAAAGAGCTATTTGTTCAACCTAAAACATTAGAAGTAGAAAAAACAAAATTAAGCGAACCACCCAAAAAAGTAGTACTCAACAAAAATGAAATTTTAAGTCAAATAAATAAAACAATAGGGAGTTTCAGAGAAACAAAGAGTTGGATCTTTGAGCTGACCAATGTCATTGATAACCCCCTAGCAAGCCAGATAAAGGAGAATAGCTTAAACATTTTATATATATATAAATATATAAATACACACACACACACACACACACACAGAGGAAAAATCTTTCCCGGATGGGGTAATGGTTCAAAGTAGTTATTGTGAGATATTATGTATAACTGTACAACAACATACTTTATTTTTTAATTTTTATTATTATTTTTTAAATATATTTTATTGATTTCAGAGAGGAAGGGAGAGGGAGACAGAGACAGAAACATCAATGATGAGAGAGAATCCTTTTTTGGCTGCCTCCTTTACGGCCCCCATTGAGGATTGAGTCCACAACCAGGCATGTGCCCTGACTGGGTATCAGACCATGACCCTCCTGATTCCTCAATGGTTGAGCCATGCCGGCCAGGCAACATACTTTAATATTGATGTGAAATAAGGGCTTTCCTAGCAAAACGTAAATTAACAAAGTTAATAGACGAAGAAACACAAAAGAGAACAATGAATGTAGAAGAGACCAGAGCAAAAAGGACATAGCACAACAAATACAAAGACTGAAAGGTAGAAAGGAAAGGGGGCCAGCCTACAGACCTCAAAGCATTGTAGAAGCCTATAACTAAAAACTGTCAACAGGCACAGACTAAAAAGCTCTAAGAAAAGTCTACTCCCCTTAATCGAAGTATCAAGAAAAGTGTGGCCTAACTGAACATACCCACCCTACTCCAGCCAAACACTAATAGAATACACATTCTCTTCAAGTACCCGTGCAACATTCTCTAAGACATACCACATCCAGAGTCATAAAACAAATCTCAACAAATTGAAATCATAAAGCATAAGTTCTTTGATTATAATAGTGCTGAATCAATAACAAAAAAATAAAACAAAAGTCACCAAATACTTGGGAATTAATAATCCATTTCTATATAATCATAGATCACAGAGGAAGTCTCAAAGGAAATTAAAAAGTAACAATATAAATACAACTTGTTGAAAATTTGTGGAATGGAGATAAAGCAGTGTTGAAAGGGAAATTTATAAATTTAAATGTTTATATTTTCAGAATTAAGGTCTTAAACCAATAATTTAAGCTCCCACCTCAAAAATTAGAAAAAGAGCAAAGTAAACCCAAAACAAGAGAAGGGAGGAAGTAATAAATATAAGAGCAGAAATCAATGAAACTGAAAACAGTAAAACAATAGAGAATATCAATGAAAACAAAAGCTGGTTCTTTTTTTTTTTTTTAAATATATTTTATTGATTTTTTACAGAGAGGAAAGGAGAGGGATAGAGAGTCAGAAACATCCATGAGAGAGAAACATCGGATCAGCTGCCTCCTGCACACCCCCTACTGGGGATGTGCCCGCAACCAAAGTACATGCCCTTGACCAGAGCCGAACCCGGGACCTTTCAGTCCGCAGGCCGACGCTCTATCCACTGAGCCAAACTTGCTAGGGCAAAAGCTGGTTCTTTGAAAACGATAAAATTGGTAATCCTCTAGAAAGATTGACAAAGGTAAAAAGAAGACACAAATTACCAACAGCAGAAATGAAACAGGAGATATAACTACAGATCCTGCAGCTATTAAAAGGAAAGGGAATACCACACACAGCTTTATGCACATTAGTTCAACAACTAGGATGAAATAATCCAATTCCTCTCAAAACACAAACTCCTACAATTCACCCACTATTAAATAGTTACTCTGAAAAGATATTAACTAGATCATCTGAATAGTCATATAACTACTACAGAAACTAAAGACATAATAAAAAAGCTTCCAAAAGGAAATTTCCAGACCCAGATGATTTCACTGGAGAATTCCACCAAACATTTAAAGAAAAATTAGCATAATTCTACACAATCTCTTCCAGAAAATAGAAGTGGACATTTTTCAAGTCATTCTATGATGCCAGTATTACCCTAATATTAAAACAGACAAAGATAATACAAAAAAAAAAGAAAACTGTAGATCAGTATTTCTCATGAACTTGATGCAAAAATCCTGGGGGGAAAAAGCATTAGACAGTCAATTCCTGCAATACATAAAAGGAATTATACCACTACAATTACGTAAGCTTTATTCCAGGAATGTAAGGCTGGTTCAATATTCAAAAATCACCAGTGTATTCCCTCATATTAACAGGCTAAAGATAAAAAAAATCACAAGATCATATAAATTCATACACAGAATGACAAAATTCAACACTTATTCATGATAAAAGTAGACAGAGACATAGATCAATGGAACAAAATAGAGAACCTAAAAATAGCCCCACACAACTACAGCCAATTTATTTTTGATAAAGATGCAAAACATATCAACAGAGGAAGAATGGTGTTTTCAATAAGTGGTGCTTGAGTAATTGGACATTCAAACAAAAGAACCTCAATCTAAGCCTCTAACTTCATATGAAACTTAACTCAAATGGATCATGGGCAGTAGGGAGGAAAAATGGACAAATCAGCATCACAGTAGAAAATTTATCTCTCCTCTCCCAGAAGTACAAGAAGCAGACAAAAAAGTGTACAAATATTGTACAATGCAACTGACAACTAAATAATTAAATATTATTGTCAATTTATATATGGAACATGTATAAACATTCACCACGTACTAGGCCATGCATCCCCTCATATTTCAAGGAATGAGCTTCACATAGACATTTTTCGGACCACATTTTTCTCAGGCTAGAAACCTATTAAATAAACTTTTAGAAACTGAAAATGCATTTCTAAATAACTCATGGGCAGAAGAAAAAATTTTCAACTCTTAGAAAACACTCAGCACACAATGCACCAAACCTTGTGGGCTTTAGTGAACTTTAAGACCTTAACATTGACATGAGAAGAGCAAATCCTGCAAAATAATGAGCGAATTATCCAACTACAGTCAGACAACCGAGTGCATCACTGATCACACAAAATTCCCCAGCACTCACCCTCCCCAGGGCCGCATCCCTGCGAAACGCCTCCAGCACAGAGCACTGAGATCCTCCTGACAACAACTGTTCAACCGTGGCTGAGAACCACAGCCGCTTCCGGTCACCACCCCTAGCATCGCCCCTTCTCGGGATTCGGGGCGTCTCAGGAAGGGGGCGTGTTTCTGCACATGCGCAGAACCACATTTGAAGCCGCCGGCAGCCAAGCGTTGAGGAGATGGTATGCAGTTGGCACCCCTTGGTAGCACTGGGGAATATGGCCGCGCCCAGGTAGCGCTTCCTCGTCGTGGGATACACCATGTTGAAGGAGAGTCCATTCCCTACGGAGGATGAGGAAGCCTCTAAGTCACAGAACCCAGCGATGGAACTGTCTCACAGGTGGCGGGAAGCACGCTTTCCGAAGGAGGGGGTCTTTGGTCTATAGATTTGTGTAATAATGTTCAGAGAAACCGAGGGGCCTCTGGAAAGACGCAGAGGTGCCTTGCTATCATCTCTTGACAGATAACACAGGATGGGGGCGGGGGGGAGGGGGGGGAAATCAGACTGGTTACAGGCGTACCCTGAGGGGAGAAGGGAAAAATCAGGGATGTACAGGCATTCTCCCCCTCCCCGCACCCCCACCCCCTCGCCGAGGATATAGCACTGGAGGAAAAAGGGGAGAAGTCAGTGTTAGCTTTTCCTCTACTGTGCTTGTGGAGGTTGGCTGTAGGGGTTGAATGTTCTCATAATCTACATTATCTTCCACTCCACCTACCCAAAATAAAATAAAATAAATATATGTATGAATAATAAAATTTTTGAACTGCACTTTTTATTGTTGACAGTATTGCAGATGTCCCCCAACCTCCCCCCTTAGCCTTTTTATTTTTTCTTAACCTAATGCAATATGCCAATAAAAACATCTTTAAGAAACTATTGTTTCTATTTCCTCATAAAATAAAACCTATATAGTGATACCCTCTTAGTTTGCAAATGTAGCTTTAAGGCAACACGGATTCTGCCCTTCCACCAGTTTGCTGCCCCTTATCATCTCCAACATGGAAATTCTGCAGATGCCCTGCCCTTCTGGGAGATGTCACTGGGGTAAATGGGGAAGAAGTCGTGCTGCCCTTCACCTGGGAATGCCTGCTTACACTTCAAAACCAAGTTCAAATATCTCCTCCTCCAGTGAATCCTCCAAAAAGAGGTAGTCCTTTCCAAATCCTTAGGCGAGGAAGATATTCTGAGGGGACCCCTGTAGTCCTGGTATAGGTGTTTGTTGAATAAATAAATGAAAAAAGAAATGGAATCAGTGGAAGCACATTTGGTATGCATTCACTTCTAATAGAGTGCCAGGAATCACTGTTAATGTTGTTGAGTGTCACAATAGTACTAGGTTATGTTAAAAAATATGTTTATCTGTTAGACCATTTCAGAGAAGAAAGATAGAGCCAATAAACATTCTTTAATGATCAGGGGAATACAAATCAAGACATGCTGAGATGACATTTTACACCCATTCAATTTGCAAAACTTTTAAGTGATAATGCCAAGTATTGGAGAATGTAAATAAGTGAAACCACTTTAGAAAATAGTTAGCATTCCCTCCTACAGTGAATATTTATATGCCTCACAATCCAGCCAGTCCACTCTTAGGATATATCCAAAAGAAACGCTTGCACATGGAACCTAGGCTATGCATGGCATCCTGTTTCCAGCAAAAACTGGAAGCAAAAATGGATATTCGTCAACAGAAGTCAAAATGAATGAACTAGAATAATATCCAACAACATGGATGAATATTAAGGGGAAAAAATCCTATAATTCCCAAAAGATTGTGTAAAATATACTTTTATAAAACTAAAAGCTACTAATATAGAGAACATGAACTATTTAGGATTTTGTATAGTTGTAATAAAATAATATAAAAAGGAAATAATGCCCTAGCTGGTTTTGCTCAGTGGCTAGAGCATTGGTCTGCAGACTGGGGGGTCCCGGGTTCAATTCCAGTCTGGGGCACATGTCTGGGTTGCAGGGTCGATCCCCAGTAGGGGGCGGCGTGCAGGAGGCAGTCAATCAATGATGTCTCTTTCATCATTGATGGTTCTCTCTCTCTCTCCCTCTCCCTCTCTGAAATCAATAATAATAATACATTTTAAAAAAAATAAAAAGGAAATAAAAAAATTGATGAACTTGGGATTCAGGATGATGTTTACCTAAGTTGAGGGGAGGCAAGGCAATGAATTGAGGTAACACATAAACACATGGAGGTTATTGTCAATGCCCTACCTTTTACTAGTAAATGGTAGATGCATAAATATTAGTTGTATTATTAAAACTAAGTATTTTAATTAATTGGGAAAATTTGTTAGGTCGATATTTATATGTAAAAAGAGAAAGTTTGCATGGAGAAAAGTGCTGCCCCTTCCTTGAATGGGGCAAGACTGGAGATGATAGGATAGCAAGGAGGCAGGATCTCCACAGCTTTGACACTTACTGAGGCTCCTGCCATATATATATATATGCATGCCCTGGCTCCATGACTCACCCCATCATGCCACTCATGTCTGCTCAAATGTCTTTTCTTCAGGCGTCTTTCTTCCCTGACCAACCCCACTACTTAAGCTCCTTGCCATGCTTTAGTTTTCTTCATAGCCTTCCTTTTTATTAGAAATTATCTTATTGATTTACTGTTTTCTCATTGACTTGTTCATGCTGATACTGCAATGACTTCTGCTTCTCACATATGTGGAATAATCAACTGCTTATTTTTGGTATCTTTACCACACATGTAGAGAGCAGCAAAACACACACACTGGACTCATTTTCTTAAAAGATTAATTATTCCCTCCAAAAGACTCTGCAGGCATCTCTGGGTGATATGACTAATTATAAAATTGTTTTGATATGAGTAATGCAGGAAATACTAAAGAGAGGGAGAACTTACAAGTATATGAGACTATTTGTTCATTCATCAAATATTTATTGATCACCAGTCACTGCCCTTAGTATCTGATGTTTGGTAAAACAGAAGAGCCCCTAAATCCCTAGCTTCATGAACCTGGCATCCTAGAGGGGAAGAGAGATAATAATAAATTATTAGGAGGTGATAATTGCTAAAGGAGGGTGGATAGGACTGAGTGAGGGGAAGAGAGATAATAATAAATTATTAGGAGGTGATAATTGCTAAAGGAGGGTGGATAGGACTGAGTGATATGAGTTGGAAATTTTGGGGGACTGCCACTTTAAATAGGAGGATCAGAGTCTCCTTTAAACTCTGGCACTGATTTTCTGCATCCTGGGGCAGGCCAGTTGCAAATCTTCACATTTATGTGTGTGTTTAGTTAAAAATGAGGAAGAGTGCAGGTCAGAATATTTTAATATCTGCAGCTAAGGACAGAATATTGTCCTATACACACCTGGTGTCTCTTTATATGTCCTAATCTCCTCTTCTTATAGGAACACTAGTCAGATTGGATCAGGAATCATCCTAAAGGCCTCATTTTAACTTAATCCCCTCTTTAACAGCCCTATCTCCAAATATGTCACATTTTTCATTCTTCAATACTGGGGATTAGGGCTTCAACATATGAATTTTGGGGGAACACATTTCAGCCCATAACATTCAAGTATGCTTTCACAAGATGGTTTTAGTATCCATTGATGATCTTCACAATGGTTAACTTAGGGGTTGCAAAATGGTGATTTTCTAATTCTATCATCTTTCTATATTTATTAGCTAACTTTCTTTGATAAAGAGTTTTCTTTCCCCTTGCATGTTTGTTTAAAGATGATTATATTAATGTGCCAGTTCTTTGGTTAACCTCTTCCTGCACCCTCCTCCCCCTGCCAGATCTGTTATTTTGTGCCATGTATCCATGTCTCTGGACCTATTTTGCTCCTCAGTTTATTTTGTTCATTAGATTTCTGATGTGTTAGTCTTTCAGTGTACTGTTGGGTTCTGTTTACTAATGTTTTATTTAGAATTTATATTAATACATCTACAATCAGATTTATTGCTTTTCTGATTGCAGATACATTATGTAATACACAATTAGTTTTTAAGAAATAGCAGCGCAATTAAGGAATAGTAAGTACTACTGTAACATTCTTCTAGAACACCTGGATACAATCTGGACTCATTGATTCCAATTTTCCCCCCTACCCCGAATTGCAATTTGTCAGATATACTGGTTTCCAGCTCTTACTTTGTCTTGGCTTTGAAACCATTATTTTCTTCTAATGTTACATCTTGATGCTTGAGTCTACTGGCTGGAATCATGTTGATTACTTGATTTTATTGATTTCTTTGAGCCCAACTGCTGAACACAGATTTTTTTCCCTATACTTTTCTATTTCAAGCAATGCCACAGTGAGCCACCTTGTAATATGTTTTCCAAATGTGTGTGGATATATTCATAGAATAGAGTCCCGGAAGTGTAGTTTCTGAGTCATAATTAAGTGCATTTTAATTTGGTAAACATTTCCATCCACACCTCTGTATGATTGTATCACTTTGACTACCCCCAGCAGTTTTCCCGCAAATTCACCAGCAGAGTGGATTGTTCAACTTTTAGATTTTTGCTAATCTCATAGGTGAGAAATGGTATGCCAAGTGTGGTTTTAATTTTCATTTCTCTTAATATGAGGATGGTTGGGCATCTTTTCACATAGGGTGAGTGGAGGTGGGCAAAGGGGGAAACATGGGGATGGAAAGAGACTTTGCTTGGGGAGATGGGCGCATGATGCAATGTGCAGATGATGTTTTATTTGACTTGAAACCTGTATGGTTTTATGAACCAATGTCACCCTAATAAATTCAATTTATTTTATTTTTTAAAATATGTTTTCATTGATTTTTACAGAGAGAGGAAGGGAGAGGGATAGAGAGATAGAAACATCGATCAGGCTGACTCCTGCATTCCCCCCACTGGGGATTGAGCCCACAACCTAGGCATGTGCCCTTACCAGGAATCGAACCAGCAACTCTTAGTTCCTAGGTTGATGCTCAACTGCTGAGCTATACCAGCTGGGTTAAATTCAATTTTAAAATTAACAAAATAAAATCATATTTTTCTCTCAATGATTTTTTCCTGTGTTCAGTTCAACTAATATGATGACGTACT